CCCCCCATCCCACAGAGCGAGAGGGTGGACCCCTGGCGTTTGGCCATCGACCGCCCCTCCGAAAAGCTCCTGGGCTTCCTCCGGAAACACTACGGCCTCGAAGACGCCATCCCACAGGTCCTTGGGGCGTCCCCCCCTAATTTAGGGTGTCCCCCATCTTGCTTGGGGTGCCCCACGTCCATTTTGGGAGCCCCCAGCCCCATTTTTGGCACCGCTCTGGTCCAAAAATGGGGGGAAATGGGGGGTTGGGGATCACTGGGAGTTGGGGTAGGGCTGGGAAATGGCCCTGGGGGGCAAAATTACCCCAAATATTTGCCCCTGTGGGGAGGAAATGACCCCAAAATTGCCCCTGGGGAGGTACAAACGACCCCAAGTTTACTCTGTGGGGTGAAATTGCCCCAAATATTTGCCCTATAGGGGGAAATTACCCCAAATATTTGCCCCATGGGTGGAAGTGACCCCAAATTTTGCCCTGGGGGGTGTAAATCACCCCAGATTTTTGCCCTATGGACCCTAAAATGCCCCTAGGAGGGGAAATTACCCCAAATATTTGCCCTAGGGGGGTAAAATGACCCAAAACCTTTGCCCTATAGGGGAAACAGGGCCCTAAAAACTGCCCCTGAGTGGGAAATTACCCTAAATATTTGCCCTGTAGGGAGAAATGACCCCAAATTTTGCCCTGGGGGGGTACAAAGGACCCCAAATTTGCCCTATGGAGTTAAATTACCTCAAATATTTGCCCCTATGGTGGGTTTAGGGCCCTAAAAACTGCCCTTGGGGGCACAAATTACCCCAAATCTTTCCCCTATGGGGGTGAAATGACCCCAAATTTGCCCTGGGGGGGTACAAACGACCCCAGATTTGCTCTATGGGGTAAAATTACCTCAAATATTTGCCCTATGGACCATAAAAACTGCCCCTAGGAGGGGAAATGACCCCAAACATTTGCCCTGGGGGGGTAAAATTCCCCAAATTGCCCCATGGGGGTGGAAATTACCTCAAATATTTACCCCTGGGGGCACAAATGACCCCAAATCTTTGCCCTATGGGGAAATAGGGCTCTAAAAACTGCCCCTGGGGGGGGAAATGACCCCAAATATTTGCCCTGGGGGGTAAAAATCCCCAAAATTGCCCCATGGGTGGGTACAAATGACCTCAAATTTACTCTATGGGGTAAAATTACCCCAAATCTTTGCCCTATGGATCGAAATGACCCCAAATCTTTGCCCCATGGGTGGAAATAACCCCAAATTTTGCCCTAGGGGAGTAAAATGACCCCAAATCTTTGCCCTGGGGGGGTTAAAAATTGCCCCCGTGGGGAAATGACCCCAAATCTTTGCCCCTGGGGGGTAAAACGACCCCAAATTTGCCCCCAGGTGAACAACTTCGTCATCTTCGAGGGCTTCTTCTCCACTCGCCCAGGTGAGTTTTTTGGGGGGCAGGGGGTCCCATGGGGGTGACCCCCACACCCCCCCCATCCT